CAGAAATACAGTCAGGTCCAGAAATATTGGGACATCGACACAATTCAAACATCTTTGGCTCTATACACCACCACAATGGAGTTGGAATGAAACAAACACAATGTGCTTTAACTGCAGACTGTCAGCTTTAATTTGAGGGTATGTACATCCAACGGGGTAGGACTTACAGCAGTTTGCATATGTGCCTCCCACTTGTTAAGGGACCAAAGGTAATGGAACAGAATAATAATCATAAATCACACTTTCCCTTCTTAATACTTGGTGGCAAGTCCTTTGCAGTCAATCACAGCCTGAAGTCTGGAATGCATAGACATCACCAGACGCTGTAAGTCCTACCCCATTCACCTGAGTTGGATATACATACCCTCAAATTAAAGCTGACAGTCTGCAGTTAAAGCACTTTGTGTTTGTTTCATTCCAACTCCATTGTGGTAGTGTATAGCACCAAAGATGTTCGAATTGTGTCGATGTCCCAATATTTCTGGACCTGACTGTAGATCATATGTTGAATATGAATACGAAAGAGAAACTAAATTTCCAAATCAGAAGGATTCATAGTTTTATTTCATTCTGCATTGATGAAATCCCATGTTGAGTAATGCTCTAATTTGAGGCATTGCCCTTTAACACATAAAGCAGGAACCAGCATCAGACAATAATCGGGGAATAAACAACATTGCCATTAAGAAACAATCAAGGAAGAACCAACTCCCAACCAAGCTATATATAAACGATCAGCAAATTTCACTTTCCCGAGATCTGATGAGGTTATCTAGCTTGGTAACAACACATCTAAAATGTCCATGCTACATGGTATTTTGTCCTAAGACATAGTTGGGAGCAGAAAAACATAGTGATATAATTTTCCCCACAATTATTCATGACCAGATGGGAGAAGACTAACCAGTAAGTCAGCCCCAAAGTCAAAAGCAAACCAACCCAAATCAAGGTTATGGAGGATAAATGAAAGAACTGTAAAAGTTCATGGCTTACTACTGCCAGAAAGATATCCTTTTAGACTTGAGTTAGTCTTAAGAGATTTTTATATAGTTGTGCCTGTAATTACCTCTTTCTTAGATAGAGTTCATTAAGTCTAATTTGGCCAGAAGACCGTCTAGGTACATAGAATTAAAAGACTAAATCAAATTATGTTCATCAAGCCTAGGGCAATTCAGACATGCTGAGTTACTTTTGAGTAGATTTTTGTTTCCAAGTCATTCTCATTTACAAGTAAGATTCTGGTGCCTGTTTTCTGACATTCAGCCTAAGGGAATCCATAGGTTATCCAATGCCTTCTTATGTGCATCTCTCATTAAAGAGCTGCACTTTGATCCCAGCAATCATGCTACCATCTGCATTTTTAAAATATCTTCTACTTATAATAGTTTAACAAGTTTTGCAAGAAGAAATATGCAATATACAAATTTGTATAGGACACACACATTTCTTCCCTATAGCATATCCAACAGTTACAGATGTTCATGTTAGCCTAACATTCATCTTTGATCCATTCTCTTCTCTTAGTTTAATTCTTGAGATAGGTACAATTATTTCTTTGTGTATGGTTTATAATGCAAGGTAATTCATACTGAAGATAGCAGTATATACTGAAAGATAGCATAAAGCAATGCTATATTTATCTGAAAGAAAGACAAGTCTGAATTTAAGATGATGAACCCCACAGTAAAGTTTAAACAGAAAAAAAACCCACATCCCATTTGCCTTCACTCTCACATCTTGGTCAGTCTAGGTCCGGACAACTATCCAATTTAATGGGTTTATATTTAGGTGTCAGCTGCCACTTCATACTTGCCTTTTGCTATTGCTCAATGCCGACTGCCATGAACTCTATCTTGACTTCTTTCCCATAGTATCCACCCTCAGGAGCATGTAACTGGATTTTTGCTGACCCTGGGCTCTGGATGCTTTTGATGCTGGTGTAAAAAATCTGCCTCATCCACAGATTGATTGTAGATGAGGGTATTGCCCTAGCATAGGAGTCTTCAGACTTGGCCCTTTTATGACTTGTGGACTTCAACTCCCAGAATTCCTCAGCCAGGCATGCTGGCTAAGGAATTCTGGGAGTTGAAGTCCACAAGTCATAAAAGGGCTAAGTTTGAAGACCTCTGCCCTAGCATGTGTAGCTGAAACCTGAGTAGGCCTTTCTCTGAAATATGCCTGCCTGGGGTTTGAGTTTTACAGTAGACAAGACCATGGAGGAGGCAACAGTAGCTATTGACATTCACAAGTGGTTGATGGCACTTAGAGACAGGTCTGTGACACTTGAGTTCCTCTGGTTGAGATTGGACCTCTGGAAACAGTTGGGAGTGTGCTACTATATTGCCCTCTCTGCTGAGCAGCACCATACTTGCTTGAGCTGCTGGATTCTGTTGATGAAGGAGTCTCTGAGGCTGATGGGGACTTTAACCCGCATCTGATAATATTGTATGAGAGTGGTCAAGAGTTCGTGGCTTCCAAGGCAACATTTGACCTGTCCCATGTTCAGATAATCCTCATCTTACAACATTTAGTGACTGTTCGAAGTTACAACGCTACCGGAAAAAGTGACTGATGACTATTTTTCACCGTTATGACAATTGCAGCAACCCCATGGTCATATGCTTAACATTCAGATGCTCGGCAACTGACTCATATTTGGTTGCAGTATCCTGGGGTCATGTGCAACCTTCTAACAAGTGCAGTCAATGGCGAAGCCAGATTCACTTAACTGTTGTTACTAACATAAAACTGCAGTGATTCACTTAACAACTGTGGCAAGAAATGTTGTAAAATGGGGCAAAACTCACGTAACTGTCTCACTTAGCAACAGAAATTTTGAGATCAGTTATGGTCATAAGTCTGTGTAATAAGATACATACCAGGGGTCCTATTACATTAGATCTGCTTTTTGTCTCAGGAAAGTTGCAGCGTGATCTAGTGTTGGAGAACGGCTGATGGGAGCCACAAAAGAGCATGACTCCTTTGCCATTTGACTTCAGGTACAATTCAAGATGCTGATCATCATGTTTACTGCCTGGTTTTCTGCAGACCCCACCCATCTCCAAACATTTCTCCCAGGACCTTCTGGCAATGTGGGTGCACCTCAGGTCCCTTCAATTAAACATTTCATGGGAACAAGGAAGTATGTTTCCATGAAAGAGAAGGGACAGAGAAGACAGCATTCCCTCAAAGGCAGGTATGCACCCACATTCTTAGAGTTCTAGAACATTTTTAAGTTCTAGACTTATCTTCTGTTCCTCGGCCAGTTCATATGTGTCAGTGGACCCTGTCATTTTTTAATTATTATGGCTATTTTTGTCAATTTATACTTTCATTAAATTATGCTTTGCTGTTTTTTAATTCTCTTAATTTACATATTGGATGTTGTAGACCAGGGCTTTTCAATCAGTGGTACAGGTACCACCTGTGGTACATTGGCACCTGGCAGATGGTACGCGACCATCCTAGAAAAGTGGTAGCAGGGGAGAGGAATGAGCTGAACCAGTGGCAGCACCGCACAAGCCTGAGCGAGAGATGGCTGGAGCTGCAGGAAGTACCAGGATCAGTGCACCAGGAAGCACCAGGATCAGTGCCACTTTCCAGATGATCGGCGCTTCTTCAGGACTGTCAGGACTCAGTGAAAGTGCCAGGATCAGCACCAGGCTCCAGCTGGAGCTCGGCGCTGATCCTGGCGCTTCTGCTGAGCCCTGAAGAAGCACCAATCAGCTGGAAAGCAGCACTGATCCTAGTGCTTTTTCTGAGTCCAGAAGACGTGCCGATCAGCTGGAATGTTGCAGCATCTCCAGGGTCTTGTGATTTAGATTCAGATTCTTGGCAACTGATTCATATTTATGATGGTCACAGTGTCCCAGGGTCATGTGAAGTGACCAAAACCTGCTGCAACCACCCAGCAGGCAAAGGGAATAAAAAACAAACACCCCCCCCCACCCCACCCCCACTGCCAATCCTTAACAGAAATGCTCACAACAATGAAAACCTCAGACAGGAGGAAGAGCACCGCCGGGTGGGCAGGCGTCTTGCTCGGCTGTGGCTTGGGGGGCACTTTTTTCAGTGCCATTGTAACTTCGAACAATCACTAAGCGAACTGTTGTAAGTCGAGGACTACCTGTACTTTATCACTTTTTTCCTTTTTTTTGTCATCAAATTTTTGACACCTTGCTAAGCGACTGGTGGTACTTGGATATTGCCATATCCTAAAAGTGGTACAATAGGTGAAAAGGTTGAAAGCCCTGTTGTAAACCATCCAACTATCTGTCTTTTGGAGCTGATGGCTATGATAAATCTCATTACAATAATATTCTTGTTGGTATCAATGTTTTGGTATTGAAGTAAATAAATATCAATGGCCTTGCTGATGTCTTCCAAAATTATCATTTCTGCTGTATATCAGTATGTGAATATTTTTCTCCTAAAGGCTTCAGAATCAGGGTGTATTTTTAATCTAGGGCCTAAACCATCATTCCACAGTCAATCAGTAAATAAAAATCAGCATCAATTGTGATGTATCCAAGGGACTGTATGATTAAGGCAGATCAGATGCATCAAATAGCCTTGACTGAATGCATGTATAAAAATAAAGTACATGAGAGTTTGAAGGTGGGGTTAGAGGGAGAGAATGGTGCTAGAAAAATTACAGCTGCTAAAGCAAATACAATCCAGAATACCAGGAAATTATGTATTTTGTTTAGCATATCAATGACCAAGCTCACTGTGATTGTTCAAATGAATTTACATAATCAAGGCAGCTGCAATGTTATCTTGAAAATTTGGCAACCCTTCACTGTGTTTTGATCTGACAGCAATCACCTGGAGATCATATGATGTTTATCTGTTAATTATATATTTGTCACATGTCCTCCTTTATATTCTATAATTGTGAGGTTTTTCTCTGTATAACAGATTCCCACAGGGCTAAAAAAATGTACATATATTCTCTCTTTGGTCTCCAGAGGGCACTAAGTAATTCTGAATTGCAGAGCAATAAGGTCTTTGCAGCCTGTGATGGTAACCGTCAGTCAAGGCTGAAGTTGCTTTTTAGTGGTTGCTGTGAGTCACAGATGATTAGGTAGGAGTGTTTTCTCTCCATTGATGAAAGTATAAAATCCAATGCAAGTCTGTGTGTCTATATGTCTGCTGTTCCTGCTCTATCCTTATTGATGAAAGCTACAAGATCTGTCTTGACTGAACTGGGGGTCCCAAGACAAAGTAGCAGAATACAAAGCCAATCACATTAAATCAACTAGGGGATTCTTTTGAAATGGACTATTCATTGCCACCTCTATCTCTTTTTAAAAATATACAGTAGATATCTCAAATTTTGCATTTTCTGTTTTCTCACATTCTACGGGCACGAAGTGAACTAACTTCTTTGGATTGGTGGATTCAGAACTCTGCATCGAATAAGGAATTATTCTATTTTTTTCTTTTTCTTTTTTTTACAACTGATCTCATTCAATAAAGATTACAGAAGGATTTCTGGTGGATTTTATCTTTTAAGGGTTTTTTTTTTCTCCTAATAAATGCATGTAAAATTGAATCTCTGCTCTTCATAATGAACACAACAGTACCCTGGATTCTGAGGTTTCAGCCTGCCTTGCTTAATGACACTGGAGAAGTCAATAGTTCGGGTTTTGGCAGCAAAGGGGATGGCGACTTCTGTGAGCAAGTCTTCATCAAAGCTGAGGTGTTTTTGATGCTGGGAATCATCAGCCTTCTTGAGAACGTCCTCGTCATCCTTGCAGTGATCAAGAATGGCAACCTGCATTCACCCATGTACTTTTTTCTCTGTAGCCTGGCTGTGGCAGACATACTAATGGGTATGTCCAATGCCTTGGAAACCCTCATGATTGCCATCCTGACCAGTGGCTATTTAACCATCGATGATCACTTCGTCCAGAACATGGACAACATTTTTGACTCCATGATCTGTATCTCTTTGATTGCCTCCATCTGCAACCTTTTGATCATAGCAATTGACAGGTACATTACCATTCTCTATGCACTCCGGTACCACAGTATCATGACTGTGAAGAAGGCTCTGACACTCATTGGGGTCATCTGGATCACCTGCATCTTTTGTGGTATCATGTTCATTGCCTATTACGAGAGCAAAACGGTCATTGTTTGCCTCATCACCATGTTCTTTACCATGCTCTTCTTCATGGCCCTGCTTTACATTCATATGTTCCTGTTTGCACGTTTACATGTCAAGCGTATTGCAGCCCTCCCGGTGGATGGGGTCCCTCGCCAACGCACCTGCATCAAAGGGGCTGTCACTATTACTATTCTGTTGGGTGTCTTCATCATCTGCTGGGCACCCTTTTTCCTCCACCTTATCCTCATCATTTCCTGCCCCACCAACCCACACTGCCTTTGCTATACTTCTCACTTCAACACCTACCTGGTTCTTATCATGTGCAACTCTGTCATTGATCCCCTTATATATGCTTTCCGGAGTCTGGAGATGAGAAAGACCTTCAAGGAAATGGCTTGTGGCTGTTGCAGCATAAGCGCAGGGCAGTGCATGCTCTGAACTCAATCCTATGCTCACCTTCATGCCTTCCAGATGACGACTGCTTGGAGTGAACACGGCTGCAGTCTGACCTGTCCAGAAGGTGTAATATTGGGGAAGGTGAAGACATGGTTTATGCCAAAGCAAAAATCCTAAATACCTTTCTCCAATTGCCAGTTGCTAGCAGTGATCCAGGAAAGGATGGAAAACTGGAAGGAAGTGGTTTCTTCTTTCTTCTTTCCTTCTTTTTCAATGTCTCCTACTATTGGTAATGGTAAGAAAAAGAACATCAGACTCAGAAATATTGGGAAGGAACAGAGACATGTTCCCATTGCATTAAAAGGAAGTCCATAATTTTTAGAATATTCAGTAGGACTATTTAGTGTTACACAAGATGTTCAACAGATGCACCACATAGGCTTGGAAAACTGTTCTTAGAGAACTCTGCATAATTATTTAAAAAAAAAAATAGGTGAGTGTGGGCCTGACACAGAAAACCTGCCGTTCTCTATACAAATAGATTAATTTATGATTGATTTTATAAAGCTGCTATTCCGAGTGTTAAGACTGGTTATTACCTATGAATAAGCTCTTCGACAGTTAGAAGGACCGCTGCTATTCATTTGGCTTTGAGCCTCACTGAAATCATTTCTATTTGGGATCGCACTTCAATCATTGTTTTTATTTCACCGGCAAACCGTTGCAGTATTGTTATTATTATTTTAAGTGCCGATCGCCAACAACCTTCTGCCTTACCTAAGCATTTTTTTTTTCGTTAGAAGCAAGAAACAGTTTCGGGACAAAGTTAGATCTCTTACGGAGCATTTCAGATTTTGTTCTGGTGGGGGGAGGGACGAGACGCGCACGTAGCCCCGTCCTTCCTTCTCTCCGGGTTCAGCATTCAACTGGAAGGGTTCGGGTTGTGGATCATGGGGCTGGGTGCTTCATACCTCCTGCCCGAAGCCTGCGGAGGAGAAAGCTCAGAGCTCTGTGTGTGTGTGTGTGTGTGTGTGTGTGTGTGTGTGTGTGTGTGTGTGTGTGTGTGTGTGTTTCGTGCTTCCTCAAGTCCGAGTTTCCCTTACTTTCTGGATTCTCTTCATTTGAAACGTTCTTTCATAACTTCCGGGTTTTTTTTTATTGTGTACATTGTGATTTAACAGCAAACGCATTCTAAAAAAAAAAAAAAAAACTTCGGTGGATGGAACTGGACTATTTGGGACTTTACAGTCCATTCAAGACAAGACATGGGAGTGGATTGCAATCACTTCCTTCTGAGGTGATTTTCTGTTGGGGAAGTCCTGGTGGTCTCTCATCGATTGCAAACCAGGCTGACCCATGGAAAGACAACCTTCTGGGGATCTTGAAATATACCTGCAGAAAAGAGCTTCTAAGAAAGCTTCTAAGAGTCATGGCTGATATCAAGTAGTGTCAACATTTCCTGATTACCCTATGGATTCAGTTTTGGTGACTGAAGAGAAATTGTTCCCATTCTAAAACTGTCTCTCAATATATCTTTAGCAGGACAAAATTATACCTGTCTTCTCTGTAATGTGTAATCAACCTCACCAAATGTATTGTGACTTTATTTCCAGATGTATTGCCTGAGGATGAGAATTGTTGTGCAGTCCATCTGAGATTACCAGGTTGGGAAAAGCTGATCTGTAGTAATAAATGTACCCGAGGTGGGGGGCGGGAGGTTCTGGCTCTGAGATATATAAGTAAAATGAGTTCACAGATCCTGTAAAGTGAGTTTTGTTTTGATATGGCCCACCATGTTATTGTCTTTGGGAACTATGTTTTATGACTTAGCTTGTATAAAGTAAGTTAACAGACTTGTCCAAGAAACCCCTGTTACGAAAACCAGGACCTAAGGATAGCCATCTCCGTACTTGTGGATTTCAACTCCTGTAAGCCCTCACCAGCCAAGCCAATGTGGAGAATTGAATCTAAACTTCTGAAGAGCATCCAGATGAATGGCTTTGTATGATTTGTGCACTTGATTATTATCATCAGTTCTCACCATCTAACAAGAGCATCTCTGGAAAAACTGGAAATAGCTTACATTTGTTTTATAGTTAGCATTAATTTTGAAAACTACTATAATACTTTTCAAACATTTCACCATTTCATTCAACATGCTAAGTCTAAATGTGGTTTTCTTTTTATTGTTACAACTTAGCATATTGAATCAATCCAACTGGTTGATTCAATAAGTGAATTATGGATAATATTGGTAGTCATACAGATCGTAACTTACAAAGGACTCTAAATTTAATCTGAATATACCTTTGAAGAGAATATTTATATTTCAGGTTTGGACTGTGGAGTTCTTAGTACTCTCTGAGCTTACTTGTTTTCTTACAGATGGTGCACTGCTAATGTTATCTAGTTTGGTAATGAAATGTCTGCAAGAAAACAGTCAGGCTCAGAGAGTAGAAGTGAATATGCAGTTTGCAGGGAAGATCACTGATAGTTGTCCAGTGGTCTTTTACAGAAATGTTACTTTAAATGAAATTCTAAAATACAGTCTCCATTCTATTTATGTTTTTGGTTTTCTCTGGAAAAAAAGCCTGTCAGCAATTACTGTGATGACCAGAATAATTATATGTGGTAAAATCTAGGAAAGCATTAGAAAGCATTAGTTCTACAACTAGTATAGCTGTTGTGTCTGCTTACTTTTACTATTCATTTAAGTGAATTTAATTTTCCATCTGTTTTAATTGTTGTTCATCACCCTGAAGGATATGTATGTTCTAGAACAGTGGTTCTCAACCTGTGGGTCGGGACCCCATTTGGGGTCGAACGACCATTTCACGGGGGTCGCCAAACAACGCAGTCTGCCATTTTTTCCCCCTTTTCCTTAGTTGTGCTACTCCCTTTTATTCTATTGGCTTTCAAAAGCCAATAGAAGAGACTCTCTTGAATAGGAATTGTCCAGGCTGTCTCTGCCCTGCTGAGCCCGCCAAAAGTCCCATTCTGCAAACGGTGCTGCACCAGTTGAGTAGTCCTCCACTTACGACCGGTTGAGTAGTCCTCGACTTACAACTGGATGGGGGTCGCGGCATTAAAAAGGTTGAGAACCACTGTTCTAGAAAGACTTATGAATTATTTTAGTTGAGAATAGAAATGTGTGGTGTTCGTGCTAATAAGTGTAGATTTGGTTGTTTCAAAGGTTTATAAGCTACAATGGCTGAGTTCTAGAGCACTTACATTGACACAAGGTATTTCAGGTTTAATCGTTGTATCCTTTCTTTTGGCTGGAAAAAGCACCCAAGAAAATTCCACATAGGAGAAGAGCGAAGTGTACTTGAGCACCATTTGTCACTTAAAAGTTTCTGTTGTTGTAATTTACTGTTGTTCACTTAGTGTGATGTTGTGCTTCAAGTTCTTAACTATTTGCCTTTGTCACAACTTTGAATTAATTGCACCTCATGTTCTCTGAAATAGTTCTGCTTAAAAAATTAGTAATGTCTTAAATAAAATGAGCCTGAAATTACTTGCCAAATGTTCTCTGTTTTATAAGATAGTAATAGCTGGATTATCCACTCAAAAGGCTTTCTTGTGTCCTAGGGAGGAAAATACTATAATCATTTAATCCTTCCAGAGTGAACCCAATTACAGCCACATTAGCCCTTAAAATATCTATTTTTGGTTTTGTAAAACCTGTTTGTAATCTTTCCTTAATTATTATTCCATTTGAAAACGGCATAATGGAAATGTTAGATGCTATGGAGATGAAAGTTTTGTTGCAAAATTCTAAAACATCTTCAAGGCCCAAATGACTTATATACATTAAATATAATCATTAAAAATCACTTTTTAATATCAGCTAATGGGATCAGAGGGGAGGAAAAGGAACATAGAAACATAGAAAACTGACAGCAGAAAAAGAGGACTGTTGGGCAGACTGCAGATAAAACAGGGGCTTAATGGTTTCTTTCTTTGTCACTGATGCAAAAAAACGTACTCATATGCACCCCCCGGAACTATTCTTCAGATTCTAGACAAGCTTCTAGGTCTGAAACCACCATGTCGATAAAATTCTTTCTGTTTTTACTGATACTGACAAAAGCCCAATCAGCACATAAGGCTTGTGGGCTTTAAATATTAGTGTTTCTCCTCAGCAAAATAGTGCCTGGGGAGGAACTGGACACTTGGAAAGAAAGAACTACTAGACATGATACAATATTTATCACTTATTTCTATGCATATAATAGTCCATGATTAACAATGGCAATTGGGACTGGAATTTCCATCACTAAGTGATGCCATCGTAAAGTGTGGGATCATGTGGCCATGCTGCTTAGTGGTGCCAGATCCAGCAGTTTGCTGTTGTTAAGAAGATCCCACAGTGTGTGTTGCGTGGTTGCCATTGCAATTTCTTTCCTGCTTTCTCACTGATTTTGCTCGTCAGAAGCTTGCAGCAGTGGTTGCAAATGGTGATCACATGACATTGCGACATCAAGATTGGAATTGCAAGCTGATTGCCAAGCACCCAAATCAAGATCATGTAACCAGAGGGATGCTGTGATGGCTCCAACTATAGGTAGTCCAAAATTTACAACACTTCACATAGTGACAGTCAAAGTTAAAACATCACTGAAAAAAGTGACTTATGACCATTTTCCCACACTTACGACTGTTGCGGCATCCCCATGGTCACATAAACAAAATTCAGATGCTTAACGACTGACTCATATTTATGACGGTTGCAATGTCCCAGGGTTATGGGATCACCTTTTGCAACCTACTGACAAGCAAAGTCATTGGAGAAGCCAGATATATTTAACAACTGTGCTACTAACATAACAATTGCACTGATTCACTTAACAACCATAACAAGAAAGGTCATAAAATGGGGGAATCAATTAACTGTCTCACTTAACAATAGAAATTTTGAGTTCAGTTGTCGTAAGTCAAGGACTAGGTGTAACAGGACTGGTCATAAGTGGCAACAGTCGCTGAATGAGTGCTCATTCAATAGGGATGCCTGGATTCTATTCAGCTGCTATTCCTAATGT